TCCAAGGAGCACCGGTGCTGCTCCCCAACCCATAAGGTCTGTGCCACCATGCAGCACTGCTTGCCGTCCCCGGTGCCGCATAAGAAGGCGGACAGGGGTCGTTCCTCCGTCAAGAAGCCTTGAGTGAACTCCAGCGTGGTGCGTCCTCCGGTGGGACACCCATGGTCTGGGCCTCAAGACCTGGCACCGTTGACTCCGGCCCCAACAGGAGGCCCATCGAGTCCAGTACTGATGTCCTCCCTGACTCAGGAGGATTTGGAGGAAGAGATCGACTGTCCCTCCATGCCGGACACCTACGAGGCAGCATGAGACCTCATTGCCATGACGGCACAGTCCCCGGCCCCGCAGGTGCGGGGCTTGGCCCTGCAAGCCCAGGCACCAGCGGCGGCCCCGGCTACAACGTCTAGCCCAGCACCACATGTGGGTCTGGCACCGATGGCAGCACCGCCTCTGGTTCATCATCGTGGCAAGCCTATGATGTCACGGCACCGCTTACCATCACACTGGTACCGCTCCCTGGCACCATCCGGCTCCACGCCCTCCCATCTCCTGTGGTTGGGCACAGACTACTCATCCGAGTCAGACGCCGAGTTTTCCGTCTCTTGACGCAGCCACTACCGCTCCTGGTCCTGGCACCACAGACTGGTGGAATCATCGGCACCCGCGGTCGCCTGGCCACCCTAGTGGCAGGGCCCAGTCCAATGGCCCTTTTGGACCCCTTGGGCCTACCACCAGGCTCAGGGTCAGGGCTCCAGGCTGGCATCGGTGGTATCTGCACCCCATGGGGCCCCCCAGCAACGTTGCTGGCTCGCTACACCCCTGTATGAGACAGGGACCCTGGGCTGTCATGCTCAGGTGCAGCACCCGATCCAGCGACATCAGTGACACTAGAGCCACCTCCAGTCATGGGAGGCTCCGAGGTACCTGACCCAACCTCCAGAGAGCCAGAATGGCAGGAAGACCCTGTCCCCACGGGCCGCCGCCGCCTCCTCGCCTGACAAGGCAGGGGTGGGCACCACCCTACCAGTGATGGACACCAAGGGTCCCCAGGATCTCCTTAGGAGGGTGGCCCTAAACCTTAATCTCCAGGCAGAGTAGGTCATGGAGGGAGTCTGACCCGCTGGTGGACATCCTTGCCCCTGAGAGTTCTTCTAGGATGGCCTTGCCCCTCATAAGAATGATCCAAAATACCACAAAGGTGCTTTGGCAGACTCCAGCCTCTATACCACCCACCGCTAAAGGGGTGGAAAGACAATATTTTGTGCCGCAGGAAGGGTACAAACACCTTTCATCCACCCCAACCGGGGACTCTGGTGGTCGATGTGGCAAACCACAAAGAGCGGCAAGGACAGCCGGGTCCCGCACCTAAGTCACGGGACACTAAGAACCTTCTTGGCCGAAAAGTCTAGTTGACTGGGGGCTCCAGCTTCGAGTGGCCAACCAGCAAGTGGTACTCGGCCGCTATGCTTTCAACTCTTGGAGTTTGTTGGCAAAGAGCCAGGAGGCACTCCTGGAAGACTCGTGCAAAGAGTTTAGCGTGCTCCTTGAGGAGGGTAGGGTTGTCTCCAGAACCTCCCTCCAGGCTGTGTTAGACGCGGTGGACTCGTGGGCTCCGACCATCGCCACCATCACAATCAGGTGCATTGCGTGGCTCCAGGTCTCAGGGATACCACCTGAGGTCCAGAACACAATACAGGACTTCCCCTTTGACTGTGCAGGCCTGTTCACCCAAAATACAGACTCTCGCCTGCACAGCCTTAAGGACTCGTGGGCAACTTTGAAGTCTTTGGGGATCCTTTTAAGCCTCAGCCCCCGTCCCCCTTCTACTCTGGGCATCATAGATGAGACTCGTCAAGGAGACGGGGCAGAAATAATAGGAGGCCCTTCACAGTTCTCAGGCCAAGGCCAGGGTTCGGCCAAACAGCCCCCTGGCCTGAAGCCAAACTTTTGAAGATGCGCCCAAGGACGGAGCATCAGTTTCAGTCTCCCTGATCCTTCCCCCCCCCCCCCCCCTTGTGAATCGACTCTCCCGCTTCTACCGTGCTTGGTCCCAGATCACATCAGATTGTTGGGTCCTCAGCACGGTAGTGGTGGGATATTCTGTTCCCTCCCATCCCTGTCCCTTTTCAGGGACCCTTCTCACGAGCACTCCTCTTGCAGGAGGTGCAATCGCTCCTCGCTCTAGGGGCAATAGAGGAAGTTCCTCAGGAGTTCAGGGGCAAGGGGTTCTACTCCTGCTATTTCCTCATCCCCCAAGGCCAAGGGTTGGCTCCGGCCTATCCTGAACCTGCGAGAGCTCAACACATTCATAAGGAAGGTGAAGTTTTGCATGATCTCTCTGGCCGCCATCATTCCTTCCCTGGATCTGGGGGACTGGTACGCCGCCCTCAACTTGAAAGATGCGTACTTCCATATATTTATTATCCCGGCCCACAGACGATTCATGGTCAGTGGCCAGTGCTAGCAGTTCAGGGTGCTCCCGTTTGGGCTCTCGGCAGCCCCCCCGGGTATTCACCACGTGTGTGGCAGTGTCAGGCGCAAGTATTCCCATACCTAGACGACGGATTCATCAAGGCAGAGTCCCAAGCACAGGCCGCAGAGCATGTGTCCCTGCCCCAGACCACATTCCACAGGCTGGGCCTCCTATTGAATGTGCCCAAATCCACACTGGCCCCAACGCAGAGAATAGAATTCATCGGGGCTCTCTTGGACTCCATGCAGGCGAGGGCGTTCCTGCCGGAGCTGCGCTTCCAAGCACTCCCAGACATCGAAAACCTTCGCCGGTTTCCCACAACCACGGCCAGAAATTGCATAAAACTATTGGGGCATATGGCTGCCTGCACGTACGTGGTCCAGCACTCCAGGTTACGCCTTCGGCCCCTCCAGGCGTGGTTGGCGCGGGTGCACAGGCCGGGCAGGGACCTGCTGGACACGATAGTTACCCTCCCCCCTCTCATCCTCGAATCTCTCCACTCGTGGCTGCAATCACACGTTGTTTGTGCGGGAGTACCCTTTGCCAAACCCCATCCTACGCTATCCCTAGTCACGGACGCCTCAGCTCTCGGTTGGGGAGTGCACCTGAGCAATATCAGAACCCAAGGCCTATGGTCCCACACAGAATTATCGCTGCATATCAATGTAAGGGAGCTGAAGGCGGTTCATCTGGCATGCCAAGCGTTCTAGCCCACCTGCAGGGCGCATGTGTGTGGGTGCTGACGGACAACACTGCAGCAATGTTTCTATAGAAACAAACAGGCTGGTGCTTGCTCCTCTCCCCTGTGCCAGGAAGCCCTCGAGCTGTGGGATTTTTGCATCACCCACTTGATACACCTAGAGGCGTTGCACCTTCCAGGAGCACAAAACAAGCTAGCCGACTGCCTCAGCCGCTGATTTCACAGTCACGAATGGTCCCTCAGGCTGGACATCGCACACTCGATTTTCACCCCACATAGACCTGTTCGCGACGCAGGAAGTGCCAGCGGTTCTGCTAGGAATAACGTAGCTGAAGTCGAAGTACTTAGATCTACTCACCATGGTGTCTTCACGGTGGTGAATCGACTGCTGCCGCTCTGCCGTCGACTCCGCATGTGTCTCTCACGCCGGTGGAGTACAGGAGTTGACGGGAGAGTGCTCAGGGGTCGATTTATCGCGTCTGTGCCCTTGGCCTCTCCAGGCTGGAGGGCTGGAGGGAGCTCAGTGTAGGACTGCTCTTGGATTTCACCCAGAAACTCCAGTTGGGGAACATGCTGCTGCCCAGAACTACGTTCAGAGCAGTGCACCAGCTCCCTTTTGGGGCACAGGTGCAATTCAGGGTATTGGTGAGAATCCTTAAATCTCTGATTTGTCAGGGCCCCAGCTCCCGGAAAGATTCCCCTGGCCTAGCCCGTCATAGCCATGTGCGATCACTTTTGTTTTCTGGCCTAGAACCAGCACGGAGTTTTCCTCATCCCATTTGGAACTTGCTCTTCATCGGAGCCAGAACCTCAGGGCTCTGAGTGTAATATAAAATTGTCTGTGTGTTTGGTGGTGGTCCTGGCAAGACTAGGGCATTGGGGCTTCCAGCCCCAATGGCAATCACACTGTATTTATAGATCTAAGATTGCACTCATGTCAGGGGCAATAGGTGCTATAAAAGTTCTGTAACAGTGCTAGAAACGGTGATTGTATAAGCAAAAATGACTGGTACGATGGCAAAGTGCAAAGCTGTGTGGGGAAGAGGAACCAGCCTGTGCACACTTCAGTCAATTTGGGCTCTTTCTCGGTGGATCAGAGATAAGTTGAGTGGTTTTGTGTGGGGAGGAGGAGTGCTGCTGATACTGGGGAGGCGATTTGGGGGGCAATTGTTTAAAGAGGAAGCGGGGAAGAAATCTGTATCTGTCTTTAGATTGTAAGGTTTCAGAGTAACAGCCGTGTTAGTCTGTATCCACAAAAAGAACAGGAGTACTTGTGACACCTTAGAGACTAACACATTTATTAGAGCATAAGCTTTCGTGGGCTACGAAGAAGTGGGCTGTAGACCA